GCCACACAGCCCTAGTGAAGTCACTGAAACCACCTCCAAATAAATGCTGTTTTTTTAACGGCCAAATCGACACAATTTACTTCATGCAGGAAGCTTATCATGGAGGCTTGCTCTACTACACTAGACTACACTAACTGTCTCTTAAGGCCAACCCAGGCTGAATGAGACGTAGCGTCAAAGCAGAATGATGGAAATAGTCGATGAGGCATCTGCTCTATGACTATTAGGGAACCAAATCCAGGTCTCTCACAGGACAGGTAATAATCCATACATTTGTATGATACACCAACGACACACTTTCCTGTTCTCAGCCAAAGCTATTTAGGAAGTACGAATGAAACAGAATTAGATCTAATGCAACGTACATCTTATTCTTACACATTTTGTCATTTTTTTAGTACGCGCGAGCGTGTGCGTGTGTTTATGTGTGTGTGTGTGTGTGTGTGTGGCTGCGTGCGTACGCGAGTGTGTGTGCGTGTGTGTTTGTATGTATGTGTGTGTGTGTTTGTGTCTGTGTGTGTGTGGTGTGTTTGTGTGTCTGAGTGTGGCTGTATTTTTATTATAAGTGCTTTTTCAGGGAAAGGAAAATTATTACAAAGCATTTCTGTGTCATGTTTGTCTAATTAATTGTGAACAATAGCTTTAGCAGTACAAATAGCATAGTTTTATTTTATTTTTCTATGGTAAGGCTGTTTTACAATTTAAAACAATTCGATCCCTTTGTCAGAAAACAGCAATTCGGGTATCACCACCAGTGATACTTTTAGTAAGAAAATCACGGCACATGCAACACAATTACATGTACCGGTATGTCATATAATATTACTGAGGAAGAATAGAGGTGTTAGAAGAGAGCAACAAATACGACCAAGATGTTTGATAGGAAAGCAAGAGCACATCAAACCTCAGCTCCCTCCAGCTACCCACTGTTAGTGAAAGATGGTTTACGCTGTTTTTGCTTTTTTATTAGAAGATCTTCTTAAAGGCATAATGTATTTAACTTGGTGATTTTCACCTGAATTTTGAATGGTTGAGATACTCTCTGAACTAGAAAAGAATGAAAAGAAAAGAACACTAATGTATTTTTGAGCAAACGTTGTTTTTTCATTTTCAGATGTTTTAATTTCAAACGTAATACATTTATTCTTACAATCACAAAGAACAAGCCGGCTTTCGTATGCTCATTAGAAACGAACATAGAAACGAATAAAGAAACGAATACCAAATTGCACACATACACACGCACGCACGCACGCACGCACGCATGCACGCACGCCCGCACACACGCACACACACACACAAGTGTATTTCAACAGGGAACATAATACAAGAAAGTGCATGCACACGGTGACACTTGCTGGCACATATGTACACAAACAAAGAAGCATACATCCAAAAATACATACATGTACACATACACAAGCTCAAAAATGGAGAGATAAAGAAAACACGTGGTTCTTTCATCAAAACCAAACAAAACTCTAATACAATTTTTTTTTTTTTTGTCTTTCAGAAAACCTCCTAGATCAGAAATATAGCATTCTGGAAGAGAAATAAACAACAACCAATTGACCATACGATATAAAAAAATAAAATGGCAATGGACTGGGCTTACGCTTAGGAAGCCAGCCAAAACTGTAGCAAGACAAAGCCTAGAATGGCATGCCCAGGGAAGGAGGGTCGAGATCCTCTTGGGAACGAGATCTGGAGGCAGATTTCAGGCAAAAGGAGCAAATTAGAATTGACTAGAGGTAGAGGAGATCACCAAGAACCAAAACCGGTGGAGAGCCCTTCTCGGAGGCCATCCCTTTCTTCCATTACCTAATACATGTACATACAAGGGTGAAAGAGGCTGATGATGATTATGAGGAAACTTTGCTCAACCGGCAATTGACTATCGGCAATCCAGGGTGAGGCTTTGAAAAGAGACCAACCTTGTTGGGAGATGACTTCAGTGGCGTGCAAAGTGATGACAATATTGACTGGCATGTAAGGTGATGTCAACACTGACATGTAGGGTGATGACAACATTGACGTGTAATGTAATGACAATGTTGACTGGCATGTAGGGTGATGACAGCATAGACTGGCATGTAGGGTGATGGCAACATTGACATGTAGGGTGATGACAACATTGACGTGTAATGTAATGACAATGTTGACTAGCATGTAGGGTGATGACAGCATAGACTGGCATGTAGGGTGATGGCAACATTGACATGTAGGGTGATGACAACATTGACGTGTAATGTAATGACAATG